TGCCTCTCGACTCCCCCTGTCTAGGCTTGGACAACCTGGCAGTATTTCAGCCCTCGTGCTTCCTTCTGGTGGCATGGCAGTTAGATACCAGAAAAATGCTACAGCTGAACGATTTTTCAAAAATAGCTCTGGATGTTCGAGTATGCGAAGCATGGCACACAAATGGCGGTTTCAGTTTGAAATCTTCCATTCCCTAACACTGATATTCGACCACTAGATCGGCCTCTCTGATAATGTAGTTAGGTTATGAACATTCCTATTTTCTCCGATGGTTTACCTAATATGTCGTGAAGTTCTCCGACAGTATTGTCATCAGCTACAGAAGCTTTCAGCCGAACTGCGAAGTAAAAAACCTTATAAATCGGCCGAACACCTATTTATGCAGCTATGGCCGCTTCAAATCGGAAATATAAAGATTCAACAGATAATTTTTTAGTCATATGATTGGTACCGTCCATTACTCTGATAGTTGAAATTCACCACGTTTCTTCTGTCCCCATCCATAACTCCCAATCCACTTTTGTGTTTAGTGCGTGCGTATGAACTAGCATTTGTTTGGTCCTACCACTTCACTCATTTGACCTTGAGGTCATCCAGCTACTTTGTGGCCAACCTCATGCACGTTCGACTGTCTCACATGGGACCCTGTTTGCTCATTCGATTCCCACTTTTGTAGTCCAAGTGGACCATTTGTTGTGGGCAAGTATCTACCGTCGAGTTTTGTATATTTTGTGAATCTCACATCAACAGTATCGACTCTGATCTGCCTCCTCGGAGGTTCTGCTATTGCTCGCCACTCGAAGTTATTGTTCTCCCGTTATAAGATCCTTAGGTCTCTTTGTGCTCCTACGAAAGCGTTTCTGAAACATTTCTATTAGTTATAATGCACAATACCCAATGCACTAGTCATAAGGTAGCTGAAAAAACTCCGACAGCCCACGACCAATTGGGCCCTTCTTGGGGCTCATCGGGTAGATGTCATCCCAGAGTTTCCGTCAAATTCATGTTCTACTTGAACCCAAACTGCATGGAATTAGCAAAACACACTCATTTGGATAGGTTTTGATGAGAGAATCATCTGGAACTCGGTTGAATCTCTCACTTGCGATGTTTTCGCACATGTATCGAGATCGCGCAGTGGTCCTTTGGATATCGATGAGGGATGTCGTTCACCGAAATCATAAGAGCGTGAATTCTACGGTTACTAATAGACTGATTTTGTGTTAACGCGGGACTGTGTGAAATCAAGCCCGAACCTCACTCTTGAGAAAGAAATACTCCTGGCCACAGAGGGGCTTATTTGCTTGAGCGGATTTGTCACACTCAGAGGTGCGGCATAGTATGGTATTGTTATCCGGAGGGAAAACACAAGGAGGAATATTCCTGTTTTCAACTGCTCTGTCTGGACTCGATTTCCTAACTCTACAAGTTGAACCATCTAACGGTATGGATCAGAAACATCATAATTAAAAGATCATGACCATCCCCGTCGTCATGTGACGTAACTGCAAATGCCTCCACTAATACTGACTAACATGACAAAGGCAGTAGATCTGCCAAGGGTTTGTTATCCTGACATCCCACAGGGGACTTGTCTACACAAGCCAAACCTTGTATCCAACAAGAGAACAGAACATAGCAGATGAATAGAACGCATTAATAGTGTGGCAGTTAGTCACGGAGCACAAGAAGTTAAACTGAACGAGTCAGTTATCTAAACATGCACGCATAAGAACAGGCTGGTTCAAAACCGTTGTAAAAAGAAATACCCGGAGGGAAATAATTAATGTGACTGTTTGTCTAGCGTGTGAAGTACCCATGAGTGAAAAATCTCCGTTTTTCTTCAAAAGTAGCACAAGGTAACCCTCGTGGGTTGGTAGCTCCATCCGTAAATTCTACTTCAGTTTAATCTTTGGACAAGGCAGAAGCGATCAAATTCAGCCGGTCTGCGGCGAACCGAGACCCGATAGGTTGTCCTCAGAAAACTTCAAATGGTTGTTGATCCTGCGCTACGACAGCAGAGCGGTTTTAGGGACGCTAAACCAGCTTATTTGGAGCTTAAAAACGACCGGAGTTGCTGGGGTACGCCGGGAGCCAAAAGGAAAGCTGGCGTAGATTGTGACCTTCCATGTAGCGTAGGGATCCTCACTCTGTTCGCTCTTTGTGCTCGGCGCCATCGTTCCTCATTCTATGCTTATTGTATGACCAGAAAACACTAGCATTCAGAGCAGAACTACTAGTCCCCGAATTGGAACCTTCCTAATCAACCTTCCTCTGCAGGTTGATAACAACATCCTTTCTCAGGTACGCTTCGACATGTGATGCCTCCGGAATAGAAACAACTTCATTTGATTAAGGCATCACCGTTCAATGCAGAATCAATAAATGCTGAATCCCCAGCATCGGGGTAAACTAGTGTGGTAAACTGAAAAGTCTGAGAACGATACTCATTGCCAGACAATGTAGGTCATTCTTGTCAACAAACGTTGTTGCTTACTTTCCACTGTGACGAAGCAGTGCAACCATAAAATTCGCATCAAGAGAGATCCTGAGTAAACAGATTTCCTAATCATGGCTACCTGATAAATCACTGCTGACTACCTAGGGTGTAGCTGTGTAAAACATATCGCTTATTGACAAACAAATGTATTTCGATAGCAGCACAATCCTGTTAGCAATAGACTGTCGTAGGTCATCGTGGACTATTTAGACAAATGCAAGACCTACAATCCACAAAGTCGTCACCTTAAAGGAAGACGTTTAAACGAAGGTGCCCGGAATCATAATGCAACAACAGCTTTTTGAATCGTTTGCACATGACAACTTAACGAAATGACAACGGCGGCGATTCTTATTACCGTTCAACATCCACCCGCCTTCCACTATCGCCCCATTGCAACCGGTAAGGTGAAAGTAGGGTTTTCATTCGCCTGTCATTTGGATGCTCAAAGTTCTGGTGAATGGCTACAGTGCAGTCAGACGTGAACTGAACCGCATAACACTTTCACCAATGCCAAAAGGTGTGGTGTTTTGGGAGGGTCTTGTTTCGGGTTCAAATTTACCGCCCTTATTATCTAAATGGGTCGGCGTAAAACAACTACTTAGCCTCATTATCAAGACTCATCGCAGAGCTAGTTTCATATTGATCTGGTTGATTCCGATGAACGGAATCAGCGGTTTTGGAGAAATACACTCATTGGTCTATCAAGTTGGTTTTGACGGGAGACTCAGTTGAGCAGTTCAAGTTTCATAGCTTGCTCAGGTTGATGCACGTTTATACAGCGTTGTCGAACAGATCGGTTCGCACATGTTTTGTATGAGTGGCACGAACCTTTCAATCCACATAACTTCTCCCTCAGAACACAGTTTTGCCGAAGCCCCTATGGCACGATGCCTAGCTAATTGATTGGTTTTTTAAGTTGGTCGGACATAACACAGGCTAGTGGAGTGCTCGGAAGCACGTGTGGAGTTTCCCACTATCACGTGGTCAACGGACCCGTTGCACACGTCAAACACGGACACACTGTGTAGGACCGGAAAATAAACTCCCCAATATTATACCGCCTTTACCTCAGAGGCAGCGCAGGAACATTCTTATCACTCGATTCTCTCACCTCACCATCCCTTTCAAGGGAACTACTTGTTCAAACATTCATTCGCCCTTCGACCTACGCAGTGAAGAAAGAAAGCTGTTTAGGCGTGCTGCTTACCACGTCAAAACCGTTTAGATCAGCAAGGACTTCACGTTTGGAGTGGAATACCTAATACACCGAAGCAATACATTCATGGTGGATTGATTTTGCGTTGATTTACAGTGTATTTTCTGCTTGAAAGGTTGAAAAGTGACGTAGATTTCACTTGCATGTGTTCTCCTCTGGAAACAGCAAGCTGAACATGGCTCACCGAGCCACTACGCTGATGAACTATGGACGAGAAACTCGTAAACGTACAAGCTGATATCCAGCAGATGATTTGGCCGCTCATATAAGGACGGCGCTTCGCACCATTAGGATTCCACTACTATTAATTACTCTCGACTTGTAATTCACGTTCTTAATGCATAGGTATCGATCACATTCCCGAACCGGTAGCTAGAACTACATAAAAGCTTCTCAGTCGACGATGGTGTGGAATATGTTGATTTGGGTGTTTCCTTCATACGGTAAGTGTATTCATGAGGTAACGTGTAGAACAATCATAAAGTTGTTTTATCCACATGTGATTTGACCTGTCCTGATGTGTATTGGTTTTGAGTACCTTGGAGATTCGCTAGATATGCACTATTAGTGAACGAAGCGGCCATACAGTGGCTCGCGGTCTTGGGTCAATCGAGCTAACACGTGTTGGTGTGCGACTGTCAGAGGGAAGAGTAGTTAGTCATTATCTGGATTCCACTTAACCTTACGCACCTCCCCGCCCCCTTCCAACAAAATTGTCACAACATTCACATGCCCACGAAGATCAAGAAAAATCTACCAATGGCACCCGAAGTGAATTGCCTATTGATGAACCCTGAAGTGGAAGATCAACGAACCAAACCCGGTCAGAATTAATTCGAAACTCCCCAATCCATCAAATTCTGGTGTGATAAGCGGAAGAGGACTTACTGATTGGTTCCCCGTCTATCTGATAACCTGGCCAATTTGGTGACCTGTGTCACTTGGCCTAATGAAGCTTTTGCGTCAAAAACGAAACGTTGCCCAAATAAAAACTACCGATTGTTTATCAAGCTCTTCTGAAAGGAATGAAGGATGTTACTGTTGAGGTTACCGATGCAGAACTTTGAGTCACGCGTGGGTTCGATGATCCCGAATATTAAAAGGAAGAATTGGATTGGAAAGTCTACGATACTATTCACACAAAGGTGAACAAAGTTGTACAACAAACCCAATTTTCCACGTTCACAGCGCCAACATGTCACTGACCTGTACAGCGCAGTGTCAGCGTCCACACATCGGAATACGGCGAGCGAAATATCAGCTCGGTAGTGTGAGTCGCAGTCATCCCTTTCGAGGCCGGTTCTGCGGTTCTGATCGACGGTGCGAACACCCGGAAATCACGGCAGAACGGGTCGGGGCAGGCTGAGCAGGCTGAGCAGACGGAGCGCGAGAACGCGTGGGTAAGTAAGTCAGCTGTGTGAGCGCGCACACACGCACGTGCTGATGTACCAGAATCGGACGGGAAAGCCTTTGCCACAAGGTGAATACTGGGTACAATGAGCACAACAAGTGGAGATCCAAAATACATTGGGTGAGTATGCAAACGAATGGGGATGCAGGGTTTACGAAAAGTTTACGTGCTGCTGGTGGTGTGCGTTTTCCAGGATGAAGCCCTCGTGTGCTTGATTAGAGACAATGAACAATATGACAGCTGGATTCATGCTATTGGTGACCATCCAGATTGTCCGACTGATTGCACCTCGACTGTTTGCGACCGGCTAGATTTAGGTCTTCCCCTGACGCACTTTCTTTCTTTGTTTTAATTAAGGGCTTTGTTCAAATAAACTGACGTTGTGCGGCAGCGAAGTGCCAGTGTTTTCCTCTGGTGTTGCTCCCATCGTGATGGTGATGATGAGTAAAATGATGATGATTTTGTTTGAAGTTCTGTAATGAGTCTTTGATTGGCATACACTCCCGCCTGTTAAAGCACTGGTCTACTGGAACTATACGATAGCGTGCATGAACCAACAAACTGTCGACCCCATTTCCTTGTAATCAATGCTCCACTCATGTTTACTTTTCAGAGTGCACACTTTTATGCTTCCAACCAACAGCTTCTTTCAACGGTTTTTTTTAAAATGGAATATGTAAGCACGTATTTTATGGAGACACCTATATATACTTAATGCGATACAAACTGCTGACCCTGTTTACTCACTGTCATGTGAACAGTCCTCGTCCTGACACAAGTATTCTGGTTTGTCCCCACTAACATGTGAAAGCGGGCAACTCGAGTTGAGAGCACTATAAGTCAGAGATTCAACTAGGTTCCAGCTGAATCTCCCAGCACAATCAATTGGGTATGCATATGAGTGCGTAGGTGGAGTTTCGCTTGAAATTAAGACTCCTCACCGGTGCATATCCTTGGCTGTGATGGGAGTTAGACGCCGCATATTTGATCTCAAGGCGAGCACACGCACAAGCTGGACTCATTGGAATTAGTGCTAGTCAGAAAACCACTTGGTTATTACTTACCACTGTGGAAGCATAAGATATCTGTTGAAGGGCTTCTCCTATAGCATATAGGTCCAGTTTTTTTAGCTTGCACTTCTCTGCATCATATTTTCAGATTTATTCCTAAGGTGACGTCTTCCGGTAGACTAAACAGCAAGACCTTTGAAGCCGTTTTATGGTGTCCATATGTGGTCCTGTCTGCATATAAGCAAAATAGGTTCCTGTTTTATGCTGTTTGGTGACGTGAAAATGCTGACATTGGATGACATGAGTTCTGCTTTGCTAATTAACTTGATTTTTAAACAGTACATGTGGCATTGTGTCTGCCACGAGCGGTCTGGCTTGAATTGCCCGTACAACTAGTTGGGCCCTCTTCATCTGAGTGAACCCCAGGAACTGAGGCCGGGGTGTGACAGAAAGAGGGAAGTTCCAAATTTATCAGCATACCCCATGGTTGTAAAATTATGCGGGGACAACCAAACAGCCGATAGTATCGAGGTTTGCCCAGACAGCACCACTCACAACAAGTACGCGTTACTAGCAATTGCAACAGTAGTAAAAATTCGTTTCTAGTCCAAGAGTAGGTCGATAGCACATCCATATATGAAGTACACACCAAATGCAGTGAAAAATACAATAAAACGAACCACTTCCATGCAACACTGTGTAATATGACATAACATGACATAAGTTACACAAAGTGCGGACAACGCCCAGACAAAAACACTGGCAGTTCACGTAATTAGTTCAGTGTGTTGGACCACCCATGACTCCTTATAGGCTTGTGTATTTTTACTTCGAAGGTTGTCTACCGCTTAAGAGTCAGCTTAGAGCCAGTCGCTCACCCAAATGCAATGACTTTGCATGCACATGTTTCACAGGCTTGAATGTCTCCACGGTTTTCTATATGCAGACTGTCATGTCCACAGGTCAATATAGTGTGTGGGTATCTCCTTTCGATAGCTTGTAAATGCGCTTGACTGGCAAAAACCTTCCAAAATCTCACGGCACTCGAAAAATAAAACTTTACCCCAAGGTCAGCTTGGTTCTACTCTGCATAAATGACCAGAAGTAAGCCGATAATATTGGCCTATGCTATGCCCACACTGGCGACTTTCGTTCAGCTTTTGTCAGATGCGCCTTTTTATTGTTGTTTTATTCCCCAGGGGTGTCCTATCACCAATAAATTTTTCAGACAAATTCTTCGACCGCTTCTCAGAATGTCATCTGCAGTCCACCTTGAGTAAACGAAACAAGTTCTGTTTAGTTTGTGCTTTGAGCCGTTTAAAAGTAATTTAAATGACCCAGGACTGATCTACAAATAAGTCAGCTTTGAACATAGTCTGATTTACTATTTCTTTCCGAGCTTTTCTCTTGGGAAGTTAAGCATGCGTTTAAGCGAGTAATGGTAGTAGGAGGTATCATTCTGACACGCACTCAACCTCACATAGTGTCAGCTAAACGTGAATTATAATGAGATCTCACACAGCTAATAAATGCTCTAAAACTGACCCGAGATCGCTACCAGTACATGCGTGTCGCGTTGGTGTGAATGATGTGAGACTAAACTTGAGAATGTGAGTTTACCGACCATAGAAATGAACTAGCAAAATGTTGAACATTTTGAGGTAAACAAAGACAGGTTTGTCAAACACAGGCGTGTGTTGGATATACTTTTAAGCAAATTATGGCAAAGCGTCCATGCTATCCAGTTAACTGACTAACCATATTGTTCGGCTGCCGCACCCTTTTGGTGCCTAAATGCAATGCCACCAGGAGGAAGCACGAGGGCTGGGATACTGCCAGGTTACCCAAGCCTAGACAGGGGGAGTCGAGAGGCAGAGGTCGGGTTCGAATAACGGTGAGTAAATTTGTGCTCTAACTGCTTGCGTGAACAATCGAACAATTCCAGACATCCTCCAGAAGCAGTATAAAAGTCGATCAAGCCCTAAATAGCACGCTCACTTAAGCTTATAACAAAAGGATCACTCACTGATGCGGAAATGCGCGGCAAAATGGATATCAAAGAACTGCAAACAAATATTAGGCCAAGAGCAATAACGTCACGTCTCAATTCGTGTTATTCCTGGAATTGATTCCTATGGAGTTGATTGTGCCATCTAGTAATTAGAAAAACCATATCAAACGGTAAGACTGGAATGATAAAGCGACTAAATGGAAGCAACGTACAACAGTCAATTTTCAAAGTTAATCGGGTAACAATGTTGGAATCCGTTAACACACAGTTCACTTCCAGTGGCCTCGCCTTAAATGTGTTTAGTAGTACATATCCTTACTTAACTACCACGAACACATTCTTGGCTACACTTCGGAGCACATATGCTATTATACAGCAATTTTCTGCTAGTCTCGTCACTATCTCGTTATAACCTCCTTATTTATGTGTGCAAAAATGAACAAGCAACATAAAATCAAAGCAGCCAAGCAAAGACTACTAACTAGACCTTAGTCAAAGACTGAGGACATTGGTCTTTCCCATCAACACGAGGTTGGAAAGAACGATACTTCTTGCCGTTTATTCCCGTTTGCCTTGCTCTTCCAGGTATTTGATATTTCAGTCCCTTATATTTTCCCTAAATACATTGAAGACAAAACACGGTGAGGGTCTTCTCCGTGCATTGTTCTGTTCTTGAGTTTTCTGGACCCAGACAGTAAGCCATTTCTGCGAGACCGTCATTTTATTTGTTTGTGAACATCATATATATATATATATATATATATATATATATATATATAAACTTTCTGGCCAAGAGTGCAGGTGATAATGAACCTTCTCACAATGCACGAACGTCATTTGCCTTAACTTTACTAAACTATTGGGTGTGTAACAAATACAGATATTCCATGCTGTACTTTTCCAAGTGCTCTCAGGGATTTTTACCAAACTTTCTTGTCTGTTCTAGAAAGGCGCTGATACCCAGAGAACACCTCTTATACGACTCTTTATCAAGGATCGGCTCGGTAGGTGTCCAAAAAGTTAATTAATTAGCATGTTTTAGTGAAATTTAAATAACCCCATTTCGCCGTGTTTCCCTCTACGCTGGGTGAACTCGTTTTCTATTCATCTTTCAGTCAGATCCACGTCTTGAAAGCTTTCGAAAAGAGCGGCTTATCACGATGAAACAGACGCTGGGGCAGTATGAAGCCGCTCTACGTCATTTGGTTGATTGTTCAGGTAAGTCAACCTCTATATGGCTAAATGAGCGGGGTTTTGGATATATATATATATATA